TATCACTTTTTAAAAGTTAGCTATCTTTTTTTTGTTCATCAATAGAGGGTAATACCTCAAAAATTAAAGTTTTGTGAGCATTAGTGTACTTGAGATCTTTATATTCATACTTATCACAATATTTCACTCTTTTTTTTCACTTGAATTCAATGTTTTAAAACTGTTGCAACAAACTCATCAACATTATTTCTTATTACACCAGGAATAGTTCTTTCAACACACTAAATAATAACAAAACAACTTTAGGCCTGAGGATAATGATATATTTTAATTATCATCTTTCATTTTAATATGGTGTCAAAATTGTATGCTACTCGGGAATGTAGCTTAAAGTAATATTTTTATTAAAATATACTTTTATGGAGCTTTTTAGTGTAGCAAGTTAAAGTAAAACACTACCCAGCCTGCATTTGGTTTGAAAAAGACGTCTTATGAACGTTCAAAAGAATTCTTTTTAGAACCAAATGCCGACTAGGTATATGTAACCACATATATATATATATATATATATATATATATATATATATATATATATATATATATATATATATATTTAGTAATACCAATAACAATACGTTAATTTAAAATAATTTATATTTTTTGAATTTTGTAGTAGATAATCTATACCCTGTATGAGGTTTGCTCTGTAGTTGTTTCAGTTTTGAGTGTGAAAACTAGGTTGTTTTTAGTTCAACTACTCCAATAGAAACAACAAGCTTCTTAAAGCAAAATTGTTTAACATTATTTTTGTATATATCTGTATTAGTTTCACATGATACCATTGGTGAAAGAATTGCTATTTCAGTACCATTTTTATGCCCATTAACACAAATAAAACATTCACATTTTCCACCTCGAACAACTCTAGTATTAAACTCTAGATCTAAAAGTAATAAGAAGTTATTTTTTTCGTGTAAACACAATATTGTTTATAAGCAAGACAATAATAATGCAAAGCATAATTGGTTTTTATTGGCCTATTTTTTTAAATAAAATTTACTTATGCACTTAAGTCGAGCGTTGAATAAAAATCTTTTTGTTTTCTTTAAAGATTTTTTCTGCAATAAGAAAATAACATAATAGGAAGATATAATAGAATAATAATAGAAGATATAATAAAAACATAATAGGTTTTCCCAAAAAAATCACCTTATAAGATTTTTTTTTTTTTTCTATTCTTGAGAAATAAATCCTATATTTTTCAATCGGCTCTTAAAGTTAAATTAATTTAAGTTTTATATTTTATTGCTTTTATTGCTTAAATGTGTTTATAATTTATTTATTGTTAAAGTCTTTTAAAGCAACAACAACTATAAGCCAATCGGAAACTAATAAATATTGTTACTGTCAATCGTGCTGCTGCAATTACAGAAAGTAAACAAATATATGGCTGATGGAAAAATACTATTTTAATATGAAAACATCGTTATTTATAAAACTTCTTACTAAGTTTTCTAAAAAAACTACCAACAAATGATTTATATTTTGATAGTTTCAGAATGTCCAAATATATTCAAAATCAAAATCTTAGGTCACCTTCAGGGTACCCTTGCAAAGAATGAAGGAAGCGAAAGAGAGGGATGAAAGGAGCGAGGGATGAAGGGAGCAAAGGATCAAGGAAGCGAAGGATCAAGGAAGCAAAGGAACAAGGAAGCGAAGGATCAAGGAAGCAAAGGATCAAGGAAGCAAAAGCTAAAGGGTGCAAAAGATGAAGGAAGCAAAGGATGAAGGAAGCGAAGGATGAAGGAAGCGAAAGATTAAGAAAGCGAAGGATGAAAAAAGCAAAGGATGAAGGGAGCAAAGGATGAAGGGAATAAGCAATAAAGCTTTAATGTCAGCAGGTTCAGTGGTGTTAGATGTAAGCCATTTAGTGTGGTGAGCATTAAAGGTACCAATAATAAGAATACTGGTAGTTGGGTAAAATGGCTTGGTCAAATTGATAATAAGTTACATAGAGAGAGTGGTGTAAGGGCTTGGCCAATTTGATAGAAGTTTCATCTAAAAGAGTACAGTCTTGTGAAGAAAAGAGAATGGAAAATAACAAAGCGAAAGATGATAGAGGGAAAAGGTGCTAAACAGAAGCACATAAAACAATGGTCAGAGGATTCAAACCTGATTTCTTGATAAATAGGTGAACTGATAGGTAAGTAAACGCCAAAGCCAAGTATGTGACTATTGGAGTCTTTGCGAATTAAAGGATATTAGCAGCCAAGACAAAACAGCCAAGTTTAAACTAGTCTCATAATGATTATGCAAGTCTGATGAATTTTTCAAGAATTTTACTGATGGAAAGTTACTTTAAAGACCACAAATATTTATGAATGATATATGAAAACAGTTAGGTGGAGGTAATAGTTTTTTATGTTTAATATTTTAGGTTACTTTGAACATGGTTATAATAAAGAGAACTTGACTTTTTTATTAAATAGAAGCATGGTATCCCAAGCAAGGAGCTATGCAGTTATCTCAGCCCTGCTAATTAATCCAAAGTCCTAACTTAGGGCCTCTTATGTGAGCTTGACAATAAATATGAAAAGAACTAACAGGGTCACCATTCATGCGCAAAATGGCATTGTTAATACTCTGATATTTTTGCAGCTGTTGATGGAATCACCCTCTCTGAGAGCTACTAGAGATTACCATCTTGAGTAGCTCTCAGAAAAATTGAGAATACCAGCTGGCCTAAATACTAGCTGGCCTCAACCATTAAACTGAGTTTTAGAGCTGTACCCTCATTAGGAGATAATATGAAGAGTTGCATAGCCACTATCAAGGAGGCACAAGCAAAAGTCTAGAGCATAGTCAAAAAGATTCTGCATTTATTATCCCAGGCAGGAAGCAATGTAACACAGGTTTACATCTACTTCAACTTAATAGATAAGGATGGGTGCAAGGCTGATCAACCAAATTATTCTGTTTACCTTAAAGTCTTTGCCTAAGAGGCCTTCTACAAGACAGTAGCTGGATGTAGTTGACATCTGCCCATGATGAGTATTTTTATCAAGAGATGGTTCTCTAGCCTTTACTTAACCAAGAGTCCCAAGGCAGAGGACTTTAAAGTCAGAGTGATTGATATTAACTTGAACTGATCTGACCTGGAGTAGTTAATAAAAAAAAAGTTACTTCTGTAGGCAGTACTTCAAAACATTGAAAAGGATATTTTGAAAATGCATATTACAGAAAATACATTACATCTAAAAGGAATACTTGAAATTAAGGTAAGCATAAGTTACATAGTTGTCATAGTTACATAGTTGTAGTCGCTATTTGGTAACTGAGATAACACTATACCAGAGATTTAAGCAAAATACAAACATATATATTGTAACTTACGAGTAAGCAAACACTATGCACTGGACTACATTATACCAGTAGCAGGGTGATCATGATGACTATACGCCTAACCTAACAGCTAATTACAGATAATTCAGCAAAAACAAGCCCAACCAGCTTTTTTTTACTTTTTCTTTGTTTGTTAGTAGCAGCATTTACCATTATCAACTGGTCTATAGATTTTTTGAGTTGCTTGACATTGGATGATTATTTATCAAAAATATTAATTTAAATGTTTCAAAATTTTTTTCTTACTTTTTCTAAATTGTGATTATTCTATCAACTTTTTAACTCCGAAACACGAAATTTGGTAAACAAGACCAGAAAAACAATTTGAGCACAGTGCTTCCAGAGACATTTAGAGATTAAAACTGCTCATTAAGTCAAGGATTTAAGCAAGTCACCACTGCCACATATGATTATATCTTATAAAATATAGCACATATAATTATTATCAAATATAACGCATATAATTATTTCTTATAAAAGTTTATCAATTGAAATCTTATAAAAATTTCATGAAAATTGGAGTATATTAAAAATTATTAAATTAAAAAAAATAATAAAAAATTAAGAAATGCAACTTGATGCTTTGTAAGTAGAAGTAAAGAAACTAAAGAAAGTAAAAAAGTTATTTTGGTGTATTTTTAGACAGTTTTAAAATAATTCAAAAACCTTAACAAGATCTTTTTTTAACTATATGGGTAAGTTCACATATATGCTGATGTACTTGCATATTCCATCCTTTCATTTTTTAAAAGATGCCATAGCATTACATTTTTTTAAATTAAGTTGCCCGGTTTTTATTATTTATATTAGAATGTTGAAATTAGTTATTAATTTAAACTTATAGTTTAGTATTTATTTTATTTTTTGTCCGATGGTTTTTATAAATTTCAAACAAATATTTTAGCTTTTACTTATATTTTAAATTTATTTGATAAAAATTTTAATGTAATAGTTATTTTAATGGTTATAGAAACTTTTAATTACTTTGATTTGTTTAAATTTGATTTGTTACATAGCGTTTGTATTTGCGCTAAAAATTTTTGCTATTAAAAGTGTTTATAAAATTAATCCTAAAAAAAGTTTGAAAAAATTTATTAAAAAATACATATTTATATAAATGTAATTACGTATATTCTTTGATAATTTAAATAAAATGGGTTTATTGTAAACATTATAATTAATTTATTACTTTATTTAATAAAGTAATAAGTAAACTTAATAATTTATGTGTTTTATATATTTACATAGTAATCTATGTATTTAATAATTCTGTGTTTTTACTATATATTTAATTATGTTTTACATATAAATTACATAATTTATGCATTTAATATATTTATGTAATTATTTATGTATTTAATAATTTACAAAGCATTTCGCATAGTGTAGTAATTTTTAAAAAAACTTAATATAAATATATTTTCCTTTTCAAATTTTGTTTTTTTAGCTTAGATTTTTTCTTTTTCTTTAAGATTTTTTTTTTGTTAGGTAATTTATCTTACATATTGTGTGGTCAAGTTGTAAAGAGAAAATATTTTATGTGTGGTCAGAAATGTCAATTTAATATATATTATATATATATATATATATATATATATATATATATATATATATATATATATATATATATATATATATATATTAAATCTTATTTTTAGGATCCACGATTTAATCAAGAAGTTGATAAGCAATTAGGTTATCACACTCGAAGTATATTATGCATGCCTATTATCTCAACTGTTGAAGTATACATTTTTTTTTAGTTATTTTTCTTTTATATTTTAATATATTCTCTTTTTTACTTTTATTTTTAATATATTTTCTTTTTAGTTTATTAAATATATAACTTTTATAGGACAATGAAAAGGTATGGATAATTTTTTATAAGCATTAAAAGGTATGTATAAGTGTCTAACATAATTAGTGTTTAGTATATGTTCTATTTATTTTACATCATTATTTATATATTGATTATATACACTGCATGCTAGAGGATTGAGGTCTGCATAAAACAATTTTAGCATATTAATGTCTTGACATACGCAAAATCAGTGTGATCTTTTAGCACTTGAAATAACGGCCAATCAAAGATCAGTGATTATTTTAGGGAAATTTTGAAAAATTCAAGGGAAAATAATCTGTTTTTGTGAAAAAGTTACATTTGATTAGCAAGCTTTGAAAAACTATTTTGAGCGCTGGCTTTTATATACTGCATGCTAGAGGTCTGAGGTCTGCTTAAAACAATTTTTGCATATTGTCTTGACTTACGCAGGGTCAGTGTTTATGTCATTCTTGAAATCAGTTAAATAACTTGCTTATAAAGCTCAAAAAAAGTAAGTTGTACATTTGAAGTTAATAAGATAAGATAAATATCTCAATGGGCATACATATAACTGCATATAAAGTAAAATAGTGTTAACATTATGTTAAACATAAGGTTAAAAGAAAATTTGTGAAGCTAAATTGTATTCTTACCTTATGTAAACACTCAGTGTCTGTAAAAAATCCAAGTCAGTTTACAGTTTTCTGTAAATAACTGAATATTTCTAAACTTTCAAAAATTTTTAAAACTTCATAATTATGATATAAAAAGGGGTAAAAAATCAAATTTAAGACTTTAAAATAAAACATAAAGATATAGAAAAATTTTTTTTTTTGCATTACTTCCCAAATGCACAAAATTTGATCTTGGTTTTGATCCAGATATTCTTTTTAAAGTTTCTATTTTCTTTTTTAAAATCATTTATTTTGACAAATATTACCAGTAAAAATAGAAATGTTTTTATGTCTTATGTGAATGTTGTTGACAGTTCAATTTACAACATGAAGAGTTACGTGGCTGTGAATTTATATACACCTTCCATATGAATTTACAGAATAGTAGCTTACAGATGAATTTACAGAATAATAACTTACAGATGAATATTATTCTTGAAAAGTTGTGAATTTTTTTTTTAAAGTATCAAACCCTTGTTTTTCCCACAGTTTTTTCTTGCAATCATCTTGCAGAAAGCTTCTACAGTTTTTTCTTGCAATCTCTACAGTTTCATCTTGCAGAAAGCTTTTTGCAGTTTTCAACAGTTTTATACAGTAAGCCACTACAGTTTTCACATGATTTTTCACTTGTACATTTTGAAATTAAGAACTTCATAAGAGAACTTCATAGAGAACTTCATAGAGAACTTCATAGAGAACTTCATAGAGAACTTCATAGAGAACTTCATAGAGAACTTCATAGAGAACTTCATAGAGAACTTCATAGAGGACTTCATAGAGAACTTCATAGAGAACTTCATAGAGAACTTCATAAGAGAACTTCATAGAGAACTTCATAAGAGAACTTCATAGAGAACTTCATAGAGAACTTCATAGAGAACTTCATAGAGAACTTCATAGAGAACTTCATAGAGAACTTCATAGAGGACTTCATAGAGAACTTCATAGAGAACTTCATAGAGAACTTCATAGAGAACTTCATAGAGAACTTCATAGAGAACTTCATAGAGAACTTCATAGAGAACTTCATAAGAGAACTTCATAGAGAACTTCATAAGAGAACTTCATAGAGAACTTCATAGAGAACTTCATAGAGAACTTCATAGAGAACTTCATAGAGAACTTCATAGAGGACTTCATAGAGAACTTCATAGAGAACTTCATAGAGAACTTCATAAGAGAACTTCATAGAGAACTTCATAAGAGAACTTCATAGAGAACTTCATAGAGAACTTCATAGAGAACTTCATAGAGAACTTCATAGAGAACTTCATAGAGAACTTCATAGAGAACTTCATAGAGAACTTCATAGAGAACTTCATAGAGAACTTCATAGAGAACTTCATAAGAGAACTTCATAGAGAACTTCATAGAGAACTTCATAGAGAACTTCATAGAGAACTTCATAGAGAACTTCATAGAGAACTTCATAGAGAACTTCATAGAGAACTTCATAGAGAACTTCATAGAGGACTTCATAGAGAACTTCATAGAGAACTTCATAGAGAACTTCATAAGAGAACTTCATAGAGAACTTCATAAGAGAACTTCATAGAGAACTTCATAGAGGACTTCATAGAGAACTTCATAGAGAACTTCATAGAGGACTTCATAGAGAACTTCATAGAGAACTTCATAGAGAACTTCATAGAGAACTTCATAGAGAACTTCATAGAGAACTTCATAGAGAACTTCATAGAGGACTTCATAGAGAACTTCATAGAGAACTTCATAGAGAACTTCATAGAGAACTTCATAGAGAACTTCATAGAGAACTTCATAGAGAACTTCATAGAGGACTTCATAGAGAACTTCATAGAGAACTTCATAGAGAACTTCATAGAGAACTTCATAGAGAACTTCATAGAGAACTTCATAGAGAACTTCATAGAGGACTTCATAAGAGAACTTCATAGAGAACTTCATAGAGAACTTCATAGAGAACTTCATAGAGGACTTCATAGAGAACTTCATAGAGAACTTCATAGAGAACTTCATAGAGAACTTCATAGAGAACTTCATAGAGAACTTCATAGAGAACTTCATAGAGAACTTCATAGAGAACTTCATAGAGAACTTCATAGAGAACTTCATAGAGAACTTCATAGAGAACTTCATAGAGGACTTCATAGAGAACTTCATAGAGAACTTTATAGAGAACTTCATAGAGAACTTCATAGAGAACTTCATAGAGAACTTCATAGAGAACTTCATAGAGGACTTCATAGAGAACTTCATAGAGAACTTCATAGAGAACTTCATAGAGAACTTCATAGAGAACTTCATAGAGGACTTCATAGAGAACTTCATAGAGAACTTCATAGAGAACTTCATAGAGAACTTCATAGAGAACTTCATAGAGAACTTCATAGAGAACTTCATAGAGGACTTCATAAGAGAACTTCATAGAGAACTTCATAGAGAACTTCATAGAGAACTTCATAGAGAACTTCATAGAGGACTTCATAGAGAACTTCATAGAGAACTTCATAGAGAACTTCATAGAGAACTTCATAGAGAACTTCATAGAGAACTTCATAGAGAACTTCATAGAGGACTTCATAGAGAACTTCATAGAGAACTTCATAGAGAACTTCATAGAGAACTTCATAGAGAACTTCATAGAGAACTTCATAGAGAACTTCATAGAGGACTTCATAGAGAACTTCATAGAGAACTTCATAGAGAACTTCATAGAGAACTTCATAGAGAACTTCATAGAGAACTTCATAGAGACTTCATAGAGAACTTCATAGAGAACTTCATAGAGAACTTCATAGAGAACTTCATAGAGAACTTCATAGAGAACTTCATAGAGAACTTCATAGAGAACTTCATAGAGGACTTCATAAGAGAACTTCATAGAGAACTTCATAGAGAACTTCATAGAGAACTTCATAGAGAACTTCATAGAGGACTTCATAGAGAACTTCATAGAGAACTTCATAGAGAACTTCATAGAGAACTTCATAGAGAACTTCATAGAGAACTTCATAGAGAACTTCATAGAGAACTTCATAGAGAACTTCATAGAGAACTTCATAGAGAACTTCATAGAGAACTTCATAGAGAACTTCATAGAGAACTTCATAGAGAACTTCATAGAGGACTTCAGAGAAGCATGAGCTACAATTTTTTTCTTACAATTTCTAGTACAAAAATTTAGTGTTAATTATTGAGATTTGCAAATTTGTAAAAAAAAATAGCTGAAGTTGTTTTATGGTTGTAGGGATTTATATTCTGATTCTTAAGTATCCATGGAAACAGGTAGTTTTTAACAGCTCGCAAATGCAATAGCTTTTTTTTTTTCTACAATATAGTTTTTTCTTGTAAGATCAATTTTTTTCTCGAAATCAGATTATAGCAGTAGCACAAGTCATCAATAAAAGTGGTGTACGAAGCAGTCATGTGTTTACTGAAGAAGATGAAAAGGTTGTTTGATCATTCTTTTCTTGTTTTGTTTTCTTTTTCTTTTTTTATATTTAAAACTTTGTTGTTTACTTTTTTAGATTTTCCAAAAATATTTGGTATTTTGTGGACTAGGTATCTCAAATGCTCAATTGTTTGAACAGTTTCAAGTTGAAATGAAAAGAAACTTAGTAAGTTCAATAAAAGACTTTATTGTTTATTGCATATATGTGTGTGTGTGCAAGTGTGTGTATGTATGTGTAAATATTATATATACAAATTTCTTGTCTAAGTTGTACCAAGCGTTGTTGCATGTTGTTATTCATTCGTGTAATTTATTCTTTTTATTTATTTCATCATTTCTTAGCAAATACATGTAATTGGAAAATGATTTCCTCAAGGCTGAGGGAGCCACTAAAGTTGAAGAGGTTACTAGTTTTTATATAATGGTTATTACCAACCCTCTTTAGGTTAAACCTTTAACTCCGAAAACCTAGCCATGATGAACAAGGCCACTGCCGAGAAAAAAATTGAACCCAGTACTACCAAAAACAGTAGTGTGGATTTAGTTTGAAACTTTTTGCTTACAAAGTGAAGCTCTCCACAACACTACTACCATATTTCTTTTTAGTACCTAGATCAGGTTTTATCTATATACAAAGAACCTTATGTCTTGTTAAAAAACTTTTGGGTATATATTGACAAACCTATTTGTTGTGAAATTAGGTTTGAATCTTCTGGCTATTCTTTTGTACTTTAGTTTAGAACCAATTGACTTAATCTCTTTTCTCTTTGTTCTTTTTTTTCTTTTTTTTTCTTGATAATGTGCTTTTTTTAATTTCATTTTTTTTGTCAAATTAAAAAAATAAAACCAAATATAATGAAAAAAGAAAAAAAATTATTTCCATTATATTTGGTTTTATTGACTTTAATGTTTATCATTCCTTATCAGCCTTTCTCTTAATCATCTTTCAGGTGGTTAAGACCATAATAGGATCCATGATAAAAGTGTTTTAGAACCTGCATTCTAAAGACTTTAATAATCTTTAACAGCTTTAATAACAAATGCAAGTCTATTATTCTCTTACATATGATCCTATTAACACTCCTATGGATAAGGCTGAGCTATATGCAAAGAAGTTTTCCTTTTAATTCTAATGATAATCTAAAGTGATTAGCTATCCCGACCCATAAAATACAGGTCTTTACCAAACTAAACATTTCTATACTTATCTATTCTACACCAATCATTTCTATTTCATTTTTTAATAAATAATCATTTTTTAATAAATAATTCATTCTAAAAAATTGCTTTAAGAGTAAAACAAAAGAAATTTTTTTTGCTCTTAAAGGGATCCCAAACTCCCAACACATGTTGTGTTCATATTGAAGATAATGTTAAAAAAAAAAGTTTGACCAAGTTTTTTTGATTAAAAATAAATAATGAATGCATACCGAGAAAAACTAATGTTGTTGTTTTAGCCGAAGCTCGCCTTCTCCATTTTTTTCAATAACTTGGAGTCTTTAAATTATACGTTGCAATCTACAGACTTTGGCGATTCTTTTGAAGCGCGTTTACTTCACAAAAGTTTTAGCATTTGACGTCACGGTAGATTTTTAACAAAAGTGTAGTTAAACAAAGCTGCCTTTTTCTACTTTAATTCAAAAAGTATGATGTAGTAATTTTTTAACATACAGCAAAACAACATTTACAACAAATTTTTGTAAAAATCAAAAATAATAAAAGCTTTTTATTTTATAGGAGGAACTTTTTTTTTACCGATATCTTAATAGTTTTTATATTTATATATCTTACTTATAATTCTTTTGTTTTTAAATTAAAACAAATATTAAAGCTTTACTTACGAATCTTATGATTTTCATACGAGTGTTTTACATTATATAGAGCGATATATATATACGGTCTCTCGTTTTTGTGCAAGAGAGCGCAGTATTATATATTCTGAATCTTACTTATTTTTATTTAAACAATGGGAACTTTTTTCTAACTTCTCTGGTTATTTTTACGCTATGATATTTTTTGTTTTTCCGTCGAAAAAAAGTATTTATTAACAATTAATTTCATAAACTGACAGTATTAATTAGAGATATTTGATGAACTGTTAACTTTTTTTATTATAAAAAGTTTTTGATTACAGTGATTTATTTTAAATTTCTAAATTTGCTGAATTACAAGAATACACTAAACAATACAGTTGACAGAAGTATCAGATATAAAAATTTGTAAATTGATATGTGAGATCCTGGTTTTGCATTAAAAGTACAATTAATAGCAACACAAGTCGGCATCATAAATTTTGATTATAAGTTTACTGTTCATTATAACCATCAAATAAAAAACATGAAGTTTGTATATTTTTGCCCGTTTTTTACAACTAATATTTAACAAAAATACGGACAAATTATTATTATATAACGCAATAATTAACACATTAATTAATGGCAATAATTCAAGATAAATGGTAATTTAAATTGTCAAAATGTCATAACGCGCGTTAAAAAACATATTATATTTGGTATTTCCCAATTTGTATCGTATTTGGCATTTGTCTCTTAACATGAAAAATTTAAAAAATTTTAAAACACAACAAATACAAATTTTCAAGCAATTTTCTCTTCCAATTTTCATTAATTCAAAGAAAAGTTATTTTTATAAAAAGAGCGAGCGATGAAATAAAAACTTTTCTTTCTTAACATAAATTTTTACTTATAGATAAAATTAGAAATAAAGCAACAATAAACAAAGCAACTAACAGATTAATCTGGAACTATTTTGATATTAATGAAAATAATCAACATAAACAACATTACCAACAACAATTATCAAATAAATAACACAATATCGCTTAAGTTAAGGGGCTTTTTATTTTTATTTCTTAGTCGTTCTAAATGATAAGTAAATTTAGTTCAAGTTAATATTCCAATATATACAGTTACAATATAATAAAGAAATGATGTTTAATGTTGAACTTTTTATTTAATGATTTATTTTTTACCTACATTTGTTATAAAAAACTTTCAAACCCCCGTCATTAAAATAATTTGTTTTTCATTTGTTAAAAGTCTACCGTGACGTCAAATACTAAACTTGACGTCACGTGGCGTGATGTCAAGTACTAAAACTTTTCTAAAAAAAAGTCTACCGTGACGTCAAATACTAAAACTTTTATGAATTAAACACGCCTCAAAGGAATTGCCAAAGTCCGTAGATTGCGACGTATAATTTAAAGACTCTGAGTTATTGAAAAAAATGGAGAAGGCGAGCTTCGGCTAAAACAACAACGGTATGCATTCATTATTTATTTTTAATCAAAAAAACTTGGTTCAATCCTTTTTTTTTAACATTATCTTTAATATGAACACAACATGTGTTGGGAGTTTGGGATCCCTTTAAAGCAATTTTTCACATTACTTTTATTTTCTGTATACATAGATATAAGAGATTTGTAAAATGGTTTTTTTTTCTCCTAGACACATTTCTTCGACAACTCAGTGCATTGTCATCAGTATTGTTTCCGGGAGTCCTTCCCTAAGCGTAATAAATTTTAAAATTTTTTCAATCTTACCATATATTTATAGAAAAAAAACATACCAAAAAACTTCTGATTGTTAAAATAAAAACTTTTCTGATTTAGTACAATATATTATACACAATCGTTCAATATACACCCAGCAAACTCAACTTATGCTAAAAGCATTTACAGTTATAGACGTTTGTACCTAACACTATACAAATAGCGGAACTAAGAAGAGAATATAATTTTAGCAAACAGAAATTATTAGGAATTATAAAAATGATGTGACTTTCAATGTGTTTTAAAAACCTTTTTAATAAGTTTGTATATAAGATTCAACTTTAGGTGTAAAATAGCTCATCGAGGTGTAAGATAAATTATATTAAAAAAAAACAGTTACTATCTTCTTGCTAATAAGTGTTTTGTGTAGACTTCAAGCATAAAATTGTTGCCAATGGATACTTTTAGCTGTTTGTAGGTTTTTTGTGTTAAAGTACATGTTCTGTTTCCAGGTACTTCTTGATCTTGCAAGAGTCATATTTGAGGAACAGAGCACACTTCATGATGTTGTACATAAGATTATGTTAAACACACAGTCATTACTTCAATGTGAACGTTGTTCAGTTCTTCTTGTTGATCCTTCTTCCAAGGTAATTTTTATTGATTGATTATTCATCAAGTTGGTACATCAAATTACGCAAATATTTACAATTATTTTTACAATTTAGTTTTTTTTTTTTTGAATATTTGTTTTGCTGTATATAACTTTTGAATATAATTATTTGTATTAATATGTATTATTATTATTATTATTTGTTAAGTTAAATCTCATATTGTTTTGAATACTAATAAAATTTGTTTATTTATACTTTTCTTTTCTTTGTTTTTTTATCTCATTTTATTGTTTGTTTTTTTAAATATTTCACTGTTAAAAAAGTTTGAAAAAGCGCTTGATGTCATGTCCATAGAAGATCTTTTAAAGAAGGGTGCTGATAATGCTTTCATTCTTTAAAGATAGATGCTGATTTTTAAAGAAGGGTGCTGATAATTCTTTCATTCGTTTTTTTTACTAGTATTAGGCTTTTAAGTTAAATAAAAAACTTCTAATCTTGGTCATCTTGAGTCTAACTATTTACTCTTGTGTAATCAATGAAAAATCAATGTTTCAATCTTAGGAAGCTTGATTAAGGAAAGCTTCAAACTCTGCTAAATCTTATTCTCAACAATCAAAGTCAGCCTTGTTGTAAGAGATTTTGTTCATGACTTTAATTTGCTTAGCAAGGCAAAGCACAGTTCTCTACATTTAATTTTACTCAAAAACCTGAAACAAACCTAAGCACTTAACATAAACATGTTAAATGAACATGTTCTCAATGTTTTTCATAAAGTCTAACCTGCAAAAAAATCTTTATCAGAAGTTATGTCAAAGAACTCTGCAGCAGCTGAAGAGTTGCAGCTCCATTCATTGCTAACAATAACACCACCTCATGGAACAGTTTGGTTTAGTAGGTCTGACCAATACAACCTGATTTCAGTTTTTCTAGGTAACATTTTTATTAAACTTTTTTTTTTTTTTCTTGTGTTGTTTTTGTGCAACAGAACACAGGGCTGTCTAATTCTGGTATGAAAAAGATGGTATCAACTTTTAATCAAGTTGCTTCAAATCAAAAAAAAAATGTCTCTCTTATCAGTATGCCTTATAATTCTCCAGCCAAATATTCCACTCTTAAAGATCATTTCTGAACATCTCCAGAATAACTATGAGCAACATCAAACAAGTTTTAACTTTGTTGATCCTCCTTGAATTTACCTTAATTTTTTCCTGTGGTATGAAGCTGGTTAATATCACTTGTGATATGAAGCTGGTTCACTTGTGGAATACTAGCATATATTAGTGCTCACAATAAAAGTGTGACATCAATTCAAGAGACTGACCTCTAATAAATTTTTGATCAATTAGGAGAGATTTTCAGATTGTGGCTGGTGCAAATATCAAGAAATGTATTCAGAAATTTAATCCATGCACTTATCATAAATACCTCTGATTCTGAATCATTAGTCCTAGATATGTTTTCTTCAGTGTAGTTCTATCTGCTACTTGGAGTAGCAGATAGAGCTACACTGAACACATGCTCCTGGTGAATAATGGACTTAATATTCAGCAGTAGCAATTTTTTTGTAGACGACTGGCTGGAAATAAGTGCAGGGAGATTTTAAAAAATGTGGATGTATTGGGGATATGTATTGGATGGCTATGCAGCATTCATTTTTTCCAGATGTTCCTTTAATTACATCATAGAACTCACCAACAAAAACACTTGGCTAAAAACTAAATTGAAAAAATAAAAATGTTTATTCTTAAGATTATGTTTATAAGCTTTAATTTAGCAGCTGAATGTACTTATACTTTACTACCATAATGTCATTTATAGAATGATTTTATGTTATTCTATTGTTATACCTAAATGTAACCTATTTAAGCATTGATATCTTTATGTATTCAAGTATAGCCTTCTAAATTTCTATATGATTATTGTTTAGATATCTAAATTACTAATAAAGTAATAAAGTTACAGGATTAAAGTAAACTTCTTTAGTAATCTTAATTTTCTTTTTAAAATTGAAATAAAAAAGCGTTCCTCTAAAATTATATTTATTTTTCTTCTCATAGTAAAAAAACTAAAAAATTTTTTAACTGAGTTTTTCTAATATCTTTTAAAATAATGGTTTGGCTCTGATTTGGTTCCAAGTATTTGTTTGCTATTAATCAAGTTTTCTTGAATTTACTGATTCCATGAAAAGGTTTACATGATTTAAAGTTGTATGGTCTTATATTTTCAAAATTTTAATAATTAGAAAATTCATCGGTATCAGCATCAGTATCAGCCTTTTCCCATCCATGGGTATTGGCCACAAATGTGCTATCAGTATATCACTCCTAAAAACATATTAAATCGTGTAAACTTTTTCCTAAATTTTTTCTTGAAATAAGAAGAATAAAATCAGATAAATTATTATTTCAAAATTACACTTTCAAAAAAAATGTTTATCATTGAGTTTAATGGACATAGTTGTTGTTAAAGTAAATTTTTTTATAACAATATATCCTTTTTATTTAATTGTGTTCTTCACTTGTTATTAACTTAATTAATTTCACTTAAATTGTGACTTCATGCAAAATTTAAAAGCTGGATTTTTCCTTGCAGACAATTTAACCAGATTATGGGAATTATAGGAAAGTCTCAGTTACTAAAATTGATATCATCCCCAAAGAATTTCTTGGGGTCATGATAAATTTTTTTTTTTTTTTTTTTTTTTTTTTTTCGACAGTGATTATTACATTATGTGCATTGTGTAATTTTTTATTAGTCATTATTTTCACAAGCATTTGATTTGGAAGCTAAAGACTATATTGATGAAGATGGTGAACTGAGAAGAAAACAATCATGGTACTATTTAGTCTATATTTTTTCAAAAAATGATTTTTTCTAAATGTATAAAATTATAGAGTTATATTTAAAAAATGATTTTATGTTTAAAGTGGTTTATCAGAGGTTCGCTTTCCAATTAACATTGGTATCACTGGATATGTTGCGTCAACAGGAGAGGTACATTTAGTATAAAAACATATATCCCATATAAAAGCATAATAACATAAAAGATAAAAAAGTTATTATTTTAAATTTAGACTTTAAATATACCAGATGCATATGCTGATCCAAGGTTTGATCCCTCTGTAAGTAGATCATTTTGTAATAAATTGTAAAATATTTAAGCATTTAATAATGATTGTTCTAAAATTTTATTAGGTAGATGGTGGGTCAGATTTTAAAACTAAAACTATTCTTTGCATGTCTATAAAAAACAGCAAAGGTGAAATTATTGGTAGGAATTGTTTCTTATTATTCTTATTATTTTAATCAATATATTTTTTAAGTGTTTATTGTGTGCATTTGAAAGTATATTTGTTTTTGTTTATTGTTTTTTTGCAAGTTTCTTTTTCATATATCTTTATATATATATATATATATATATATATATATATATATATATATATATATATATATATATATATATATATATATATATATATATATATATATATATATATATATATACATATATATACATACATAAAGCAAAAAGTTGTTTAGGTGAATTTACTTTTATTTTGATAAGTAAATTTTGACTTATCATTAAGTGATATTTTTTACAAAGAAATCTTTAAGTGATATTCTTTACAAAATAAATCATTGATTTTGAAGAGGAATTTCTTTTAAATGCAACAAAATTAACATTTTAAAATTGTTTTAAAAATGTTTCAATCGTTTAACGTTTTAATCATTTAATCATTTACATTTAAAGTGTCTTATATTGTAAACCAATATTTTTATTAATACAAATATTATTAAACTAAATAATTTTAAGATCATTCTTTGTAGCGATTTTTGAAATCATTTGGTTTCTCTTAACTACCTAAATTACAAATACAAAAATACTACTTATGCATCAACAATCATTATTATTAATAACTAATAAAAAATCATATTTATATTTTGTGTTATACAAAAAAATACCTGGAGAGTATCCTGAAGCCTGTCTTTATTGTGCGTTCTCTCAATGAAATCTTGAATTAACTTAATGTGGCATTCTGCACGGTCATTTACAACTGCAAGTGTTCTTACACATTGAAAAGTAAGTAAAAGACTATGAAAGTAAAATGAAAATTACTCATTTTCCTATGCTTCGATGCCTTTTTTCTTTCCATAGCAGAAGTTCCTTTTTGAACATCTCCAATAGCAAGAACAAAAGATAGGACTGCTTGCAGGCCTTGTTATGAGATTTTGTTGCGCAACAGAAAGGCGCAATGCGACTAAATGTTACTTTTCTCAATAAAGATATTTATATTGTTAAAAGTTTAATTACGTCAGTTGCGTGTTTTATAATACCTCATTGTAATTAAATTTAAAACCACATTAAAAATTGTTGTAAGTCTTTGAAATGAAAAATCTTTAAATTAAACAATTGTTATAAAAAGAAATTTTAAATGAAATTTAAAATATTGATTATAAAATTTCCTTATTTTAAAATCTTATACTTATTTAAACTTAATTTTTTTTCTTTAAAACGTTTATTTTATGGTTATAATAAAATAAATGTTTTAATAAAAATTGTAATTGAATGAAGATTACCACTTTTCGGCTTTGTTTTTTTTATTTCTATTAAAATATTTTATTTTTATGTACAGTGAAACCTAATATATTTTTACTATTTCTTACTAAATCCAAAAAGAAAAATAATATTTTTGGTTTTAAGATGTTATTAGCAGAACTTGTTTTTTAGCAAATATGAGTATAATTTTAAAATTTATGTATCTTATATTTATAGCACTAGTATTAGTTTTGTTTTTAAAATAAAATAAATATAAGTTCGGCTTTTAAAGATCACATTATTTTTAATTGGTTTAAAGTTTGGTTGGTTTTATAAAAAAAATAATAAAATTTAACGGCAAAGGGAAAACATTTATAACTCGAGTTTAAACTCGAGTTATATTAGCTACAAGATTTATTAGCTACAAAAGCGCATTAATCAGACCAATATTTCTGGAACTGGAACTTACCTTCAAAAAAAATGATGTTAAAATTTATAAAGTTATTCCCTAATATCTCAATAAATAATTTGTTTTGGAAAGTTTGATTAGCATGAAACTTTTCCGCATAAACTTTTCTAAAAGACTGTTTAAATAAACTTATTGAAAAAAGTTTTTGCATAACATAAATAGGGAAATGCGTACATAAAATTGTGAATACGTAGGTAAAATTCAAATAGCTAAACGCTTCTTAACAAGGCCTGGCTTGTTGACAAAGTCTTCTAATTTTGATGTAGGAATAATTTCAACCTGAGTTTTGGCTTCTTTTTATCAGATCTCTTATCTTTGGGATTTTATAAGAAATCAACTTGTTTAACATGTTAGTCTTAATTTCGGTTTTTATTTCCTTATCAACAAGAGAAAAAGTTATTTGTTACGGATAGATACCAAATATGACGCATGTAGCTCTGGTAAAGAACCCTTCCTATGGCTGCAAATTCTTTAACTCATCTACTCTTGAGCTGAAAAGCAATACTAAACACCATTAAATCATCTAAGGGTGCTTGAGAAGCATTAGGGCTTTTTAGATAGAAGGTCCATGAATGAATACAATGTAGTCGATTGCAGCCCCCAAATGGTTAAATGTGTTTTTTCATGTTAAATCAAATTTTCACATAATAAAAATAGTCTAGTCACATAATAATAGTCTTGGAATTAACAGAGTTTTAGCATCCAAGGGAAGTTTGAGCAGTAATAAGCCGGGCCTAAAAGCAAACTTAAGACTTTAAAATTTTCTTAAGTTTGTTTATACCTTGTAAATCTGCCGCCATAGTTTTTGGAGAATTAAATAAATCTTTTTGCTGGGACCATTTGTTAAACCAAAAAAATTTTTTTTTATCACATAAGCCACATGCTTTTTATAGATGTTACGTTTTGACATTAACCAGAAAACCGGTCTATCTAGGGCATAATGAAATAATAATGATTGCAGCACCTTTGTTTTGCCAGTGTTACTGGATGTTGTCAACAACAATCTGATAATCTGATCAGACATCTTTTGAATTGCATTTACTTGATCACTTCCCATAGAGCTTTCAATTTTTTAGATGCTAAGAAGGAAGTTTAGTGGATCAGACTCTGGTGAACAAGGGCTAATGGCAAAATCTGTCCTCATATTTAGATATTCCTATTTCCCAAGCGTATCACTTAAATCTTGGTATCAAAATGTACCAAAATTTTTAAATCCCTTATTTTATGTTATTCTCTCTAATTATCTGTGCTTCAAACTTTAAAACTTTTTCTGTTTAGAGTTGATTTTGATATTAACATATTATCAATGTCAACTCCACTAGCTTTGTAAAGAAAAGACAAGAGACACATACCAGGCCTGACTCTATCTCCAGGCCTCTAATCCAAAATCTAGTTGTAATTGAAATTCAATTGTGAAGAATTCAATACTTAACTGAAGGAAAACTTTGTTGTCACTCTTTTATTATCTTCAATACTTAACTGAAATCTTTTGTTTTTTATTGGCTTTAGCTGGAGGTAAATGTAGTTCTTTGCATTCAGTTTTGTTATCTGTGCTTGAAAAGCCACCGTCTGAACAGTTAATCTTTTTTTTTTTTTTTTTTTTTTTTTTTTTCTTTTTTTTTTTTTGTTCATGCTCTTGGATTTTCTCTGACATTTTTATGTCAGAGAAAATCCAAGAGCATGAACAAAATAGTAGTTACAAAAACAATAAAGTAGTTACAAAAAAATGCTCAACTTTTTTTTGTAACTACTTTCTGGTAGTTCTAGTGTTTTAACATTTTTAAAGTGTGGTCTTGACTTTCTTGGTCTTGATAGTTTGCTCAGTTACATTGAAGATATCGTTAAACCCAGCCTTCTCCCATTAATTGACAAGCTACCTCAGAACACAGACAGCAGTATATATCTAACTGGTGTTCTTTCTGCACACTCCACCAGCAAACATGGAGCATCTTAAACACGTTTTTCTAGTAAAAGTTATAAAGGTATGAAGTTTTAGATAAGACTTGTGTTTTAGAAGAAATTCTTGATTGAAAACAACTTTTAAACTTGATTTTTACTTTAATTAGATATTGACTTAAGTTAAATTCACGCATCACAAACTTGGACAGTAATAGTGTACGATCATGTGCTGTAACTGATCACACTTATAATTTTTTTCTTTACAAGTTGATCACGGCGGTTTCGATGTTTTTGCTATTTAAATGCTATAAAAAAAAGTTGTTACGTTATAAATTAACTTTTAATTGTTGATCTTTTCTAACGTTTTTATTTTACGCGTTAAATAAAAATTCATCATAGTGATTATTTAAAATAAACGCATTTTGTGTAATTTAACTGTTATATTTAATTTTTTTTTGTATAGGCATGTATTTTTAATATAAATTTTAACGTTTAAAACTATTTCTTGAAACTATATTATGTCTATCTAAAAATCTTTTAAAAGATAATTTTTTTAAGTTACTTTAAGTTACTTTAAGTTACTTTAAATCTTAGAATGGAATGATTAAATTGCTTCATTTTTTATTATTAATGTTTTTTTTTTTTTTTTTTTTTGTTAAACAAAAAAAAAATGGAAATTCTATTTTTACAAAGAATTATTTAAACCTTTTTTTTTAACTTGACTAACTAATCAGAGAATAAAATGATGAAAAATTACTTTTTTAAATAGTCTACGGGTTTTTTTAAAGATTTTTTTTTTGCAACTTTTTGGAAAAAATAAATGTTTATAAATTTGAAAATAATATATATAACACTTTTTAATAATTTAAATAAAAATTTTTCATTCATTAAACAATCATTAATAAGTAATTTGTAATAGCGTTTTGCATAACTTTAATAAAACATTTTAGAAGATAAGTTTTGAAGTAATTTATTTTAAATTAAAAACGTAGCAAAAAATTTTTTTTTCAAGTTTTTTGAGTTTTATTTTAGTGCTTAAATATTTTCTTTTTCCGAAAGAGTTGTTTTCTTTTTTCATTACTATTTTTTTTTAGTTTAAGTTTAGCTAGCGTTACTTTTTTCAGCGCATTTCTAAAATATTTCAAAATCATCTAAACATCTAAACAGTCATGGTCAAGTTGTCAAAAAATGAAATCATTTGCGTGGTCAGCTATAGTGCTCAATTGCATACCATTCTTGTCCAAGCCTGACATCAAAGTGAAGAACCTAGAGTTTATTTGGGGATACCACTTTTTTTTGCAATGTTGGGGGGGAGGGGGTGATGCTTTTGAGTTCCTCCCCCTCTCCTCCTCTTTCTCCTCTTAAACCGTTAAAAGCGGTGTTAAAACCTTAAAGTTAAAACCGGTGACTTGATAATTATATTTTAATCATCATTTTTTTAATCATCATTTTAACCATTTGTGTTTATCTTGTTTAGTTTTATCCTAATGAGTTGATTTAAAGGCATTTTTTTGAATACGTGAATTTACAGATGGACAATGTTACTTAAGTTACAATAAAAAAACTACTTTACTTTAGACTTTGATAAACGCTTTTGTTGCAAATACTATGCTATTAGTAAATAATTATTAAAATTGTTTAAAGTATTTTAAACAATTATTAACTAAATTTTAGTAAATTTAATTTTAGTAGTTATTAATGTTTTAAATGAGTTAAATGTTTAAATACTTTAAACGTTTTTAATTAATATTTACATTACATAATATATTTACATGTATTAAATTGCATAATATTTGTAAAATTAACAAAATAGTTTTACGTCTTGTATACGAATAGCCATTTGAACAAAAAATAATTAATGTATTTATTATTATTTCAATTAATTCAGTAAATATATTTACTATTATTTTTATTTTAAAATTTTGATTTAAATATTAGCAAATCTGTTCATTAAACTTTTACTTAAGTTAATAATTTTTAAATTAAATTTTAAGATGTCTTATAAATTAAAGATAATTAAAGAATAGATAATTATCGTAAACATAATTTTAAAAATGTTATATTTTTTTGTTTAAAAAACATATTATATTTTTAAAAATATATAAAAAATTTTTAATCATTAAGTATATTTTAAAAAATTACACTTAATAAATAAGTTACATTTACTATGGATTATTTTGAACTGATCTTTATAAAACTTTTATTAAGTTATTGTAATCTTTATTTTTGTTATTTTAAAAGTCAAAAAGAATATGGAAAAAGTTTACATTTTGTTTTTTTCGTTTTCCTCACTTAAACTAATAGCAAGCTAAAGATCAAAAGTTCATTTAAAAATTAAACATAATTAAGACTGAAATTTTTTACTTTTGTTCATTTATTATCAAAAGCAGTTTACTCTTAATTGCCAAAAAATAAAAGTTAACTTTCTCTGAATAGGTATTTTAAAATCTTTTTTTCGAAATAGCAAATTTTTTATACATTCTATTGTAATAAAATTTTGCAGCAAAATTTTAAATTTAAGTTTTGTAACGACATTCATTTTTTAAAAACTAACATTCAGTTTGTAAGCGAAGGACAGTTATCTCACGTAATTACATAAAAAAGCAACTTTTTAATTCATTTTATTGACCTGAAGAAAAAATGAGGTAGCTAAAATTAACTGAAAATTATTTATATACTACTGGATTTAAAACTGAATTTCTTTTTCTATTTTTAATAAAAAAGCAAAAGAAAAATTAAAAAATTAAAATAATTTTTGGGCGCCTATACCTCTCCAGCGGTACTAAGCGGTATGGGTCTGGATTTGTCTCTGCATCATTAATTTTTATTGTTTATTAAACACATATCATTAACTTCTATTGTTAGCCAGATCAAAATAAAAATAAGTGTTGGCTTGGATAAAAATTTACTTCTAAATCAAAATTTATTTATTGAAATAAAAGTTCACTTTTTGCTAGAGTTAAAAACTTTTTGTTAATTTAAAGTTTATTGGTATGGAAAGATTTTTCTTTCTATAGCAATTTTCTTTACTGTTTTATGATTTTACATGTTAAAATGTATTTTCTAATTAAGTATGCGGTAGTGGTGTAGTGGTAAGAGCGCTCGCTTTGTAAGCGAGAGGTTCGGAGTTCGACTCCCACCATGTCCCTGGAAGTACCGCGCTCAACTTAATTTCTCCGCGCAGCGGCCTTGCTTGTCAAGGTTCGTGTTTCGGAGTTAAAGAGTTGAGAGAGGGTTGTACCACGATTTACAACAACAACAAAAAAAAAAAAAAAAAAAAAAAAAAAAAAAAAAAAAAAAAAAAAAAAGAGTAGCCTCCTCGACTGTAGTGGCCCCCTCGGGCCTTGGGGAGGTGAATAATTAAAAAAAAAAAAAAATAAAAAAAAAATAAAAAAAAATAAAAGTTTATTTCAGTTTTTAATGAAAAAAAAACTGCTGTAAATTTTATTACTGCTTTTCCAGTGCAGCACCATTTTATGTGTTGTTGGTTTTTTTCTTTCTATTTTTGCAGCTTTTTTTGTATTAATGTTTTTTTGATGTGTCATGCAACTTCTTTAGTTTGTCTAGTGTTTTTATATTTGAAAAATTTATGTCTTTTTGTTTTTTCTCAATTGTTGTTTTTATGTCCTTCCCTTGCGTTCTGCAGTTGTTGTTTTTTTGTTGTTTTTTTCTCCTTCATTTATGTTTTTTTTTTGCTTATTTAAAATCTAATTTATATATGACATTTATATATAACATTTAGGAGTTGTCCAGCTGCTCAATAAAATGGATGGAAAACCATTTAACCAAAATGATGAAAGTTTATTTGAGGTAAGAAAAAAAAAAAAAAATGAAAAAGTTATTAATTGTTATGTTGATACATTTTGTTAAAATAAATTCCATTTAATTTTTTAGGCATTTGCAATTTTTTGTGGGATGGCAATTCACAATACTTCAATATATGAAGAGTGTTTACGAGCAATGGCAAGACAAAAAATTGCCTTAGATGTAAATTTTATTTTGCTGTTTAATTTAGTTGTATTTATCTAACTTGTGAGTTTTATTTTTTTGATTTTTTTTATAATTTTTTATTTAAACTCTTTTCTTATTACTTTATATTTATTATATTAATATATTGTATATTTATATATTTTTATATTTTTATATATTATGTATTATTATGTATTTGTTATATATTATTTATCAGATTTTGTCATATCATGCCACTGCTACTGATGTTGAAGGAACAAGTCTCATGGTAAACTTTTAAATAAAACATTAAAACTTCAGGACTATAAATTTTACATTTTTAACTTAAACTTTTTTAAATTGATTATTTAATCATCATTTAGAAAGAAATTGTTCCTTCATCAAAAACATTTCGTCTTCGTGAGCTTACATTTGATGATGCAGCATTATCTGATAAAGAAACATGTTTAGCTGTGCTTCGAATGTTTCAAGATTTAAGATTGATAACCCGTTTTAAAATTGATTACCAGGTTGTTTTTTTGTTGATGTTGTTTTTTTGTTCAAATTTTTAAATATATTTTTCTATCCATAACATGTTTTCTTTTGTTTAGGTACTTTGCAATTGGATTTTATCCGTTAAAAAAAATTATAGAAAAGTCATCTACCACAACTGGAGGCATGCATTTAATGTAACTCAGACAATGTTTCTTATGCTTAAGGTTTGAATTTTTTTTTTTTTAATATATATATATATAGTTTTATCTTGTTATAGTTTTATCTTATTATGTTGATGAAATTTTAGGAAAATTCTGATTTCAAATGTAACTTTTCTGATGAAGAGAAATTAGCCTTACTAGTAGGATGCTTATGTCATGATTTGGATCATAGAGGCACTAACAATAATTTTCAAGTTAAGTGAGTGAAATTTCAATGTATCATATACATTTTTTTTTAAGTAAAAAATTTCTTCTTTATATTTAATTTTTCTTGCTTTTTTAATTTCAGAAGTGCATCACCTCTATCTCAACTTTATGGAACATCTGTGATGGAACACCACCACTTTGATCACTGTATAATGATTTTGCATAGTTCTGTAGGTTTCCTGTTTTACTTCTTAATTTCTATCATATACCCAGCCCACACATCTAGTTTTGCTTTCAGAATTAAAACCTGTTTAGACATGTATTTGTCACAATCAAAGCGTAAACCAAAAACACGTGTTTATTATATACAAAAACACAAACTACAAAACACAAACCTTAATAGTGATTTAAGTTGACATTTTAAAAGTAAAGTAGAGCAAAGTATAGTGGTTGTGTGTGTGTGTTTTAGAGGTTAGGGTACAAATGTTGTGTGTGTTTTAGAGGTTAGAGTGTCAGGAAAAAAAAATTTACTTTCATGCAGTTTTTTATGTCCATTTAAAGTGAAAGTAAGAAACTTTTTGAAATACTTTGATAAACTTTTGTCCTCTTTTTAACAGTTTTACTCCTTCTACCACTTCTTTTTGAACTTTTGTATTTTTTAGGCTAAATATAAAAATGTATTTCTTGTTTCAATTAATGAACATCTTTTGTACCAGTATTGATCACTATATATTATAATCAATATATAATGTTATAATCAATAATTTATATAGTACTAATAAAAATAAAATATTTAAAATAACGATAAGTGTTTCAATGATTTTCAAAAATTAACATGTAAAGTTTGAAAAGAAAATTTTTTGATTAAGATTATATTTGTTAATACATTTTGTATTAACACGTTCACGCTGGCGTGTACCACCGGTGGTACACACTAGACTGTCTCATTGGGCGGCGTGTACCACCAGTGGTACACGCCGCCCAATGAGACAGTCTAGTGTGTACCACCAGTGGTACACGCCGGCGTGAACGTGTTAAGTAATCTTATGACAATCAATCTAGGTAGATACAGCAGTTTCAGCTAATTTGCGCTAGGTAGATACAGCAGTTTCATGATGAGTCAGTTCTGTTTAATTTAATTCTATTTTTAAAAATCTGTAAGAACATAAATCATGTAACTTTAAGTGACCTTTATAAAATTTCTGAAACATGATTATGGTACCAAAAAATACAAAAGAGCTCAGTAATAACAGAGTACTCCAACAATGCTTCCCTTTATTAATAAACCTTCATTAAAGAGAGAGGCAGATAGCGTTTCAAAGAACTGTGTTATTAAAAGTTAAAGACATGCAATAAATTATTATGAGCATAACTGAAGTTGTTATTGTTAATGACAATGACAAAAACAATATAGTAGCACAAAATAGTTGAAGCACAGTTAGAGTTGCAAAAAAAAACGTTTTTTTTTAATTGTGTTTTTTTTGCAAAAAAAACATGTTTTTTTTTGTGTTTTTTGTGTTTTTTTTGGTTTTTTTTTTGTTTTTTAGATTAAAAAAAAAATTATTTACTTTTATTTAATTCTTATTTTTATTATAAATGTAATATAATATATATTAATAACATGATATATGGTAAATATATAGTACATAATTTAAAAGATTTATTTTTAATTAATAACAGATTCTGTATTCTAGCTTTCTTGTTCATTAAGGTCTTCTATTGTAAAGTCAAATCCGTATTGCATCCACAACTATTCACAACTCAGAAAAATAAAATTGCATTCGTATCCGGATGCAATTTTATTTTTCTGAGTTGTGAATGGAACTCTTGTTGAAGAATACAATCGTTTTAAGGGAGGCTTATCTGATTTGGTTTTATTTGCCTTACAGTCTCCAAACTTAGGGGTTGTAGACCTACTTTGGTTTCCAAAACAGCTTGGTGTTGGAAAGAAAGATTCAATTGGAACTTGTGGAATAGCAGATGATAAACATATTTTTTTCTCTTTTTTCATATCTTGAATAGGTAAGTTTTCAGGAATATCTTCTTCCATCATTAGTTCAGTTTGAACTTTCTTCTGTTTAAAAGGCATATCGTTCAAATATTTGTTTTTTATTTGATCGCCACATTTCATACATTTTGCAATGTGCTCAGTCATTCGAGTGTCATTTTTTGATAGCTTTAAGCTGCAAAATTTGCATATAACTTGTTGAATTTTAGAACCTCCAGATTCTAAAGGTGCCTCATTGAACAATGTAGCTACAAAACATTTCTTTCTGCCTGGCATATTTTTTTTTAGATTTCTTTTTTTTTTTTTAATTAAAAATAATTAATAGATTACAAATTGTTTAATATAAATGTTTTTTCATTAGACAAAGTTAATCATTGTGTTATTTTTATTTACTGGAATATTGTTTGAATAAATAAAATTTTAGCTATCTAATTGCAATTTAAAATAAAATAAAGAAATTAAATATTAAAAATTTAAAAAAGTAATATACAAAAGTAAATAAAACATTAAAGTAAATTTTATTTAACAGTTGGTTCAATTTTGTATTTTGCAATGCAGTGTTATTTCATTCATTTTTATGAATGTGTTATTTCATTCATTTTTATGAATGTGTTATTTCATTCATTTTTATGAATGTGTTATTTCATTCATTTTTATGAATGAAATAACACTGCTAAAATAACATTTTTATTTCCTTCATTCAGTAGTATTATACTTACAATCAACTAGTAGCTAATAGTATAGTTTTTTTGAGATTTATTTAAAAAATTACTTTTTTAAATATTTAATACTGTTTTTTTTTAATATTGGCGATTAGTTTGTAACAGCTATTATATAAGTTAATATGCATTTTATTAAATAGAAAACATTTGTATTTTGTAGGGTTAAGGGCACTGGAACTGTTTCAAGTATTATTATTATCTAAAATTTAATGAATACTAAAAAAAAGCAAAAAAAACTATAAAAAACATGTTTTTAGAACCAGTCTGTTTTTTTTGCAAAAAAAACGTGTTTTTTTTAAAAAAAACACACCGTTTTTTTTGGGGTTGCAACTCTAAGCACAGTTAACCGTTAAAATTATCTTTGTAATGTTACCACTAAACAATATTATTTTTACCTCAATTACATAAAATTCCAGTTTCTTCATAACTGTTGACTAACTATTAACACAATTAATTTCACATCATATAAATTTACTAAATTAAAACCATGTTTCAACAGTAAGCAAACTAATAAAGCAATGATAACTAAAAAAAAAAATACATTTATATTTAAATTTTAAAAAATTTGGTTCGTAAAAATAATGCAGTGACTAATATTAAAACTAATATATATATATATATATATATATATATATATATATATATATATATATATATATATATATATATATATAATCTGATAACAGTCCAATAAATAAAAGTCATAAAAACTAATAATAAAAAAGTTATAATAATCTTAAACTACTCAGTCATGATAATGAAGAATATAAGTAATGAGAAACAAAAAGTTGAGTATAATAAAAAGTAGATATACGTAAGGTTGAAGTAGATATACATAAAGTTGAATTTCATTTAAGTATAAAAAAACAGCACTTATTTGATGGGTTCAAGAAATTAAAATTAATAACTTTAAAAAGAAAAAGTAGATACATAGCTAACAAATTCTAGTATTTATACTTTAATACTAATTATAGCAAGATTTATATTTTTATTTATATTTTTATATATATTTTTCATATTTTTAGTCCCATTATGTCTTAAATAGTAAAAAATAATTAACAGAAATTAGGACCACCTGGGACTAAATGATACCAAGTAATGCAATAACTTAGTAACTTGCTTGACGGGCAAAACTCTAAACACTTAATGATTTCTTCCTTGTATAACAACATTTTGTACATTTAGTAAATGTTAGAAAAAAAATTTTATCCTTATTAACCTTTCAAATAACAAAAAATAAAAATAAAGTGAATTGAAGAAACTAAAAAGAACTTTAGCTCTTTCCAATTGCTATAAAAAAATAAAATAAAATTTTGCTTTCAGTCTTAAGATTCTAATCATAAGCACATAAGAACAAACATTTATTAAAACTACTAATTGAACAAATTAAATAAAAAACAAAATCAAATTTTCTTGAATACTAAGAAAAAATTATCAGCTCTAATTTTTTGAAGACCTTGCTTGAAAGACCGTGTGGAATAAAGAAATGTGTTTAGAAAAGCCTAGAAACTACTTTTAAATGACACTATTTAACATTAAGTAGACTATTTATATTTAGATTAAAAAATAAAAACACCTAAAAAGGAATGGGGGGGGGGTCAAGTAAATTTTAAAAAAATAGTAATTTATCAGCTTTTATAGACAAATCTATATAATAAAAGCTGCTTCAAAATCTGAAAATAGTCAATAAATTCATTTTGAGGCTAATGGAAGTATTTATATTAAAATATGTAGTAGAAAATTACTACATATTGTATTACTAAAGTATTTAATGTAAGTGTTTATATTGTATTACTAAAGTATTTAATGTAAGTGTTTATATTATATTATGTAGTAGAAGATTATATTTATTCTTTGAAGATTTCATTTTCATAACGCAGATTTTCATAATGCAGATTTCTTATAAATGAAAAATATTTTTAAAGAAAATGAAAAACAGAAAGAAAAATAGTAAGAAAATAAAAAAAACAAGAACATTCTAATTACTTAATATTCCATAACTGCAGGTGTTTACATTATTGATTCCATCAGTAAATACAGGTGTTTACATTATTGATTCCAATAGTGAATGTAGGCGTTTCCATTATTGATTCAATTATTGAATGCAGGTGTTTAGATTAGTGATTCCATTAGTGAGTGCAGGTGTTTACATTGGTTATATAAAAAATAGTAATATAGTGACATTGTGCAATAACAACAATCAACAAATTTCTTAAAACATTTATCTATGTTAAAATCTTGAAAATTATTTTCAGGGTAATGAAATCTTCAATAAACTTCTGCCAGATGAATATAATACTGTCATCAATTTACTAGAACATGCTATTTTGTCAACAGACCTTGCACTTTATTTCAGGTAAACTTAAAGTTTCAATTTTTTTACTAGAACATGCTACTTTGTCAACAGACCTTGTCATTTATTTCAAGTATACTTAAAGTTTTATTTTTAAATGTTTTAAAAAATTTTATTTTTATTTTATTTTCTGTTTAGCAAGCGCCAGGAATACTTTGATTTAGTGAAAAATTCAACATTTAATTGGAATGCTGAATCAAATCGATCATTAATACGGTTTGTTTTTGAATAGCCTATGTTTTATTTTATAAATGCCAAACTATAAAAACTCAATATTAACATTTTTTTCAGATCCATGATAATGACAGCTTGTGATGTTTCTGCAATATGCAAACCGTGGCCAATTCAACAAAGAGTTTGTATTTATATTAGTAGTGTTGATATGATGATGATGATGATGATGATGATGATGATGATGATGATGATGATGATGATGATGATGATGATGATGATGATGATGATGATGATGATGATGATGATGAAGAGGAGGAGGAGGGTGATTATTATCATGACCATGATAATCATCACGATTTTGATGATGAATAATCTTAATAATTATGATGATCATTAGGTAGCACATCTTGTTGCAAAAGAATTTTTCAACAAGATATTTAGATTTTTGTTAGGTAGCACATCTTGTTGCAAAAGAATTTTTTCAACAAGATATTTAGATTTTTGTTAGGTAGCACATCTTGTTGCAAAAGAGTTTTTTCAACAAGATATTTAGATTTTTGTTAGGTAGCACATCTTGTTGCAAAAGAATTTTTTCAACAAGATATTTGGATTTTTGTTAGGTAGCACATCTTGTTGCAAAAGAATTTTTTCAACAAGATATTTAGATTTTTGTTAGGTAGCACATCTTGTTGCAAAAGAATTTTTTCAACAAGATATTTAGATTTTTGTTAGGTAGCACATCTTGTTGCAAAAGAGTTTTTTCAACAAGATATTTAGATTTTTGTTAGGTAGCATATCTTGTTGCAAAAGAATTTTTTCAACAAGATATTTGGATTTTTGTTAGGTAGCACATCTTGTTGCAAAAGAATTTTTTCAACAAGATATTTAGATTTTTGTTAAGTAGCACATCTTGTTGCAAAAGAATTTTTTCAACAAGATATTTAGATTTTTGTTAGGTAGCACATCTTGTTGCAAAAGAATTTTTTCAACAAGATATTTAGATTTTTGTTAGGTAGCACATCTTGTTGCAAAAGAGTTTTTTCAACAAGATATTTAGATTTTTGTTAGGTAGCACATTTTGTTGCAAAAGAATTTTTTCAACAAGATATTTAGATTTTTGTTAGGTAGCACATCTTGTTGCAAAAGAATTTTTTCAACAAGATATTTAGATTTTTTTAAGTAGCACATCTTGTTGCAAAAGAATTTTTTCAACAAGATATTTAGATTTTTGTTAGGTAGCACATCTTGTTGCAAAAGAATTTTTCCAACAAGATATTTGGATTTTTGTTAGGTAGCACATCTTGTTGCAAAAGAATTTTTTCAACAAGATATTTAGATTTTTGTTAGGTAGCACATTTTGTTGCAAAAGAATTTTTTCAACAAGATATTTAGATTTTTGTTAGGTAGCACATCTTGTTGTAAAAGAATTTTTCAACAAGATATTTAGATTTTTGTTAGGTAGCACATCTTGTTGCAAAAGAATTTTTCAACAAGATATTTAGATTTTTGTTAGGTAGCACATCTTGTTGCAAAAGAATTTTTTCAACAAGATATTTAGATTTTTGTTAGGTAGCACATCTTGTTGCAAAAGAGTTTTTTCAACAAGATATTTAGATTTTTGTTAGGTAGCACATTTTGTTGCAAAAGAATTTTTTCAACAAGATATTTAGATTTTTGTTAGGTAGCACATCTTGTTGCAAAAGAATTTTTTCAACAAGATATTTAGATTTTTTTAAGTAGCACATCTTGTTGCAAAAGAATTTTTTCAAAAATATATTTGGATTTTTGTTAGGTAGCACATCTTGTTGCAAAAGAATTTTTTCAACAAGATATTTAGATTTTTGTTAGGTAGCACATCTTGTTGCAAAAGAATTTTTTCAACAAGATATTTAGATTTTTGTTAGGTCGCACATCTTGTTGCAAAAGAGTTTTTTCAACAAGATATTTAGATTTTTGTTAGTAGCGCATCTTGTTGCAGAAGAATTTTTCCAACAAGATATTTAGATTTTTGTTAGGTAGCACATCTTGTTGCAAAAGAATTTTTTCAACAAGATATTTAGATTTTTGTTAGTAGCGCATCTTGTTGCAGAAGAATTTTTCCAACAAGATATTTAGATTTTTGTTAGGTAGCACATCTTGTTGCAAAAGAATTTTTTCAACAAGATATTTAGATTTTTGTTAGGTAGCACATCTTGTTGCAAAAGAATTTTTTCAACAAGATATTTAGATTTTTGTTAAGTAGCACATCTTGTTGCAAAAGAATTTTTTCAACAAGATATTTAGATTTTTGTTAGGTAGCACATCTTGTTGCAAAAGAATTTTTTCAACAAGATATTTAGATTTTTGTTAAGTAGCACATCTTGTTGCAAAAGAATTTTTTCAACAAGATATTTGGATTTTTGTTAGGTAGCACATCTTGTTGCAAAAGAATTTTTTTAACAAGATATTTGGATTTTTGTTAGGTAGCACATCTTGTTGCAGAAGAATTTTTTCAACAAGGCGATCTTGAACAAAAGGAATTAAACCAGACACCAATTGTAAGTTAAAAAATACATATTTTTAATTCAAACTGAATAGAAACATTTCTTCAAGCGTTTTTTTTGTTGTTGATGTATGTTTGATTCAATTTTAAATGAAGGAAATGATGGATCGTGCTAAAAAAGATAAACTCCCAAAAATGCAAGTTGGTTTTGTAGATGGCATTTGCTTGCCAATATATACTGTATGTTACTTTTTATATTATTTTATAATATATATATATATAAATTTTTTTTTTTCTGCTTGATTTAGTTTTTTCTTTTAATTTTATTTTTACTTTCTTTTAATTGAACTTCATTGTTTATAATTTTATTTGTATAAATAAATTAGTTTTTAATTGATTTAAAATAACTTTTAATTATTTAAAATAACTTTTGTTTTGCTTTTACAAGATAAAACTTGTGTATATACGCAAGATAAAACTTTCGAATAACGTTGACATGTGTATATACGCAAGATAAAACTTTCGAATAACATTGACATGTGTATATACGCAAGATAAAACTTTCGAATAACGTTGACATGTGTATATACGCAAGATAAAACTTTCGAATAACGTTGACATGTGTATATACGCAAAATAAAACTTTCGAATAACGTTGACATGTGTATATACGCAAGATAAAACTTTCGAATAACGTTGACAACTTAAAATACCTAACTATGAGCAGTGACCAGTCACTAGAACATTATATATATATTTTTTATTTAATTCCCCTCCTCAAGGCGGAGAAGGCCACTACAGATGAGGAGGCTACTTATTTGTGGTTATAACCCTCTCTCAACTCTATAACTCCGAAACACGAACCTTGATGAACAAGGCCGCTGCGCGGAGAAACGAGTTGAGCGCGGCGCTACCAGGGGCGTGGTGGGGATCAAACTTGGAACCACTCATTTATGAAGCGAGCGCTCTAACACTACACCACTAACGCATAATATAACCTATTTATGCATTAACACTAGAACATTATATATAACCTATTTATGCATTAACAACTTCAATTAAGTTTGAAATTATGTATAAGGTTTTTGTTTTTAATTTTATTCATTCAGATGTTAAAATGATTTTTTTTTTTTTTTTTTTATAGCACTTGGCAATGCATTATACAAAATTCAAATCGTTTTTAATGGCTTGTGTAAATAACAAACAACATTGGATGCAGTTAGATGCAGAGTATGAAGCAAGATGCGCTGCAAAAGCAAAAGAGTTAGAGATTGTCGAAGAGAGTAAAAGTTAGTTAAGTATGAGAGGTACACTAATCCTACACTAATCGTGAAGTCATGTAATCGAAACTAACGGTTGAAAACTAATCGTAAAATTGAAATCTCAAATTGTTTGAGAATTTCATGACTAACAGTTAAAAACTAATTGTGAAGTTGAAATCTCAAATTATTTGAGAATTTCATGACTAACGGTTGAAAAGTAATCGTGAAGTTGAAATCTCAAATTATTTGAAAGTTTCATGACTAAGGGTTGAAAACTAACAGTAAAGTTGAAACATTGTTTTTCAACTTGACCGCCAAGTTAAAATTCTCCCCACTCCTCATTTTTTTTGCATTTAATCATAGTAAACACAAGTTGTCAGAAAGTTCTGAACTAAGTGCTAAGTATGTATTATCAGAAAGTTCTAAGTAAATATGTATATTTTCAAAATTAAAACTTATAATTTTTTTTTTTTTCTTTATAAGTTTTATTAAAGTCAGACATTATGGTCGTCAAAATAAGCCATCAACATATATTAATTTCTTTTACAAAAAAAAAACATAAAAAGTACATATATAGCACAAGTTATATTAATGCTATTAATTGTTTAAATAAAAGTTCACTAGAGCAGATTTTAGCTTTTCTCCATAATTTTTGTGTCCTTTGTTTTTTTTATTGTCCTTATATCTAATGGTTCTTTTATAGTTCACCCAAGTTTTTTTAAATTTATAATAAACAGCTTCACCAAATTTTGCATAGCTCTGCATAGTTTTTTAAACTTATATTATTGTGTTAAACAAATGAAAGAATGTGAAACACTGAAGTATGTATTTTCCATGAAACAAAGGAAAGAATGTGACACACTAAAGTATCTATGTGTTCTACAAAAATATCAATTGTTAGAGTTAAGGTAACATCCCTATCCAAAACATCTAATATACATTAATTTATTAGCATTGTTTCTATCTAAACCTACTCCATGGCACCCTCTTGTTAGTTTATAATGTGTTTTCAATCAGTTTTGATGGTCAAATGCAAAAAAGAAAATTACAAAGTTTGTCCACAACTCTCATAATAATGTGGATGTCAAGTAGAGGAATAATTTGTTCAAAAAATGTTTCTTGATCTTTTAAGTATATTAAACAAGAATTTATAACATTTTCATGTTTCTGCATTTTTTAATCTTTTTTTTACCATCACACACATATTGATCATAACATAAGTCTATGTAGCCCAATGTTCTTAGTTTCCCTGCTTCAAGAGAGCATTATCCATCAAAATACAGATAAGCATATTTGCCAGAATTGCTTGAAAGTTCAAAAATATTGTTTGCACACTTCAGACAATTGACTCCTTCGAGTTTCAAAGGTGTCAATAATTTTTGAGATTATCTCCACAACAACAAGATTATAACAACGTTTTCACACCCGAGTCTTAATTTATTTCAGATAAAGGATAATGATTTCTTGGATCAAAAACAATAATGATAATTTTGACCACCATCTGTAGATATTCTTACTATTGCATTAAAGATATCAATATTTCTTTCCTCAACTATAAATTTGATGAATTCAGTAGTATTCTTGCCATAAACTATTTGATCACCTTCAAAGAGTTCCTCTGTTAAAGAGGCAATTGCTTGGACTATTAAATAGAGTACTGTCTGTGTTTTGAGTCAAGTTCTTTAACAAATCCAAAAATGACTCAAGTACCAAAAACTATAAAACACAAAAAACCATAGTTGTCACCAAGTTCTCTAAATCTATCATTCACTAATATTTGTGGTTTTCAAAGTAACTTTTCTTTTGTTGAGTCTTATCTCTTTCAAAGTTCACCAGACCTACTTGTTCTTTGTGAGACTAATTTGAGTTAAGCTGTCTCATCTTGTGATCTTAGTGTTGATGGTTATCTTCCTTTAATTCGTAAACATTCCAATAGTCATATGCTTAGCCTGGGCATCTACATTCGTAGAAATTCGCCCATTTGTTGGGAAACTAGGTTTAAATCCACTGACTATTTGTTTAGCACCACTTCATTCCATTGCCTTTCTCTTTGTTCTATAACGCTCTCCTTCATCTCAAGACTGCACTCTTTTCGATGTTATTTCTGATCAAATTGACCAAGCCCTCTCTATATCCATCAGCCAATATTGTTGTTGTTGGTGACTTTAATGCTCATTACGCTGAATTGGCTTTTTGTATCAGTGTCACTGCAGGTGTTAAGGCCCACTACTTTTACCTTTCTCGATTTCTAACACAAATTGTCAACTTGTTAACTCTCTTTCCAGACAATCTGAATCATTTACCTTCTCTAATCAACTTATGTCTTGTTTCTGTTCCTAGTCAGTGCTCAATTTCTCTACATTCACCTCTAGGTGCTTCTGATCACAATTTTATCTCTCTAAAAATATTATCTCATTTTCTTCATCATCAGAAACTCCCTATTACTGAATCTCTTACAATTACCTTAAAGGTGATTTTCTTCTTGATAACCCTTGGGTAGAAATCTTTCATTTTCCTGCTGACAAATGTGTTTCTTATGAAACTTCTTGGATTTCGGCTGGCATTGAATTTTTCCCTTACGATAATTCCAATACAAGCATCACCCTTCTCCATTCTTTTCTCATAGTGCTGCTGCAATCTCCAATCGCAACCATTACTTCTGTGTGTATCGCTTAAACAATCCTCCAGAAAACAGATGTCTGTTTACTATTGCTAGAAACCATTGAAAAAAGGTTTTGTCTAACACCAAAGCCAAAAAATGACATGATGATATTCTCAGGTCACAAAATCTTGTATTTGATCTCAAAAATTAGGCTCCCAAGACTTATGGAGAATCTTTAACAGTGTCTATAATAAGGGTAAATCTGTTATTCCATCTCTTTTGCATGGTTTAGATTTTGTTACCCCACCTAATAACAAAGCTGAATTGTTTGCTAAGAACTTTTCATCAATCTCATCTCTTGATTCCACTAATTACAATCTACATGATATACTACTGTCCCATAAGTCTTTTTCCTATCATAAGCAAAGTTTTTGAGTTTTTAATTAAGAAACACCTAATCTCTCATCTTGAATCTAATAACTTACTTTCTGATCTATGATATGGATTTCGATCTTCTCGTTTTACTGCTGGTTAGTTAACGGTAATAATGATAGGTTTTATAGATGTGGAGAGGGTAATGCTATCGCTCTCAACATTTCTAAAGCTTTTGATAAAGTTCGGCATACCGGTCTTCTCTATAAGCTCTGATCTCAGGGTGTATTAGGTAATATCTTTAACCTTATTGAATCCTTCCTTAACAATCGTGTATAAAAGTTGTCCTTGATGGACAGCACTCTTCTTCATATCCTATAACTTCATTGGTTCCTCAAGGGTCTAAATTTGGCCCTATACTTTTTTTAATTTACATTAAAGATCTCCCAGAAGTTCTTACATCTAAGGTGGCATTGTTTGCTGATGATATTACCATTTATAATTGTCTTGAGGATGCAATTAAATTTGAAAAGGATCTCACTTCTGCTTTAGCATGGGGCTCTCAGTGGCTGATGAACTTTAACTCAGATAAAACTTTTTTTCAGCTAATCATTTACCGTAATAATCTAGATCTTTCTATATTTATGAACGGTAATGTACTCGATGAGTCATCTACCTATCATTTTCATTACTACTATATATTAACTCTTACTTCCGATCTTTCTTGGAAACCATATATCAAATTGATTGCCAAATTAGCTAAGGTTGCATCTCTTTATTGTGGTTGCCACTTTCTTACTCAGGGTTCTATTTTTATCTCTATAAATCTCAAATCCGTCCTTTATGGAATACTGTTACCTTATCTGGAGCGGATTCTGGAATGATGCCCTTTTTCTTTTATACAGTATGCAAAAACACATTATAAACATAGTTGGACCTGCTTTTGCAGCCAACCTTCAACCAATGTCACATCATCCTCATGTTGCTTCTCTGTCTCTTTTCTATAAATACTACAATGGGTGCTAAAGTACACAAAAAGTAGCAATTAAATCTTAAAGTAGAAATTCATATTAAAGTACCTTTGATATAGTCATTCATATAGTCTTGAACCAGTTGAAAAGGTATGAATAGTATTGAATAGGTATTAAATAGTCTCTTCTTTATTTAGACTAAATAAGTTTCTGCAGTTGGAACAAATAACTGAAGGAGAAACTTTAAGATCAGTGTTGAAGTTTGGCCAGATTATTAATTTCACATACTTAGGGTTTTAAAGGTGTTTAAGATTTTGATCTGATACCTTTATTTATCAAGCAAACTGTTTGCTTGATAATACATAGTAATATATAATACATTATACAAATTACATAGTTTGAAATCTGACGCCATATTGGAAAATGATAGTTAGATTTGGAAAGTACTCGGTGTAGTAAAAATATTATCGCATCTGTATGATATTTTGTAGGCTACGACATATTTCCCTTAAATGATCAGGTCTGTAAATAATGAAAAGACAAAAAAGAATTAAAATAACAAATTTTGCGGCATCATAAAATATAAATGTTTGTAGCAAAAAAACCCAGACCGAAGATTCTTTTTTTTAAAAAAAATCTTAAAATCAAAATCGCTTGTTCAAATTTGAATAAGATTTTAAATAAATACGTTTTTTAGGTGAAATTCATAATTTAATAATATGATCTGTTCTGTTCGTTTATTGGCAATTTTTTATGGTATTTTATGTGAAAATTGATAGAAATATTGTATTTTGACAATTATATATAGTTAACATACGTCAGAACCGATTAGAACTATAGTGAGTTAAGACATTTTTCAAAAGGTTTTGAACTAAGATTATGTTAACGCCGATAAATGAAATTGATCTAAAGACTCCAAAATGGTGTTCTTTAGATTTGCTATTAGGGGTAGTAAAAAGGTTTTGAAAATTATATATATATAAAAGAAAAGTTTCTTTAAATATTAAAAAAACGTGAAGCAAAAAAAAATTATAACATCTAAAGCTCTTGTTTTTTAATACGCTGATAAAATCAAGCTAATTGCAAATAAAAGAATTCAAATAATTTGTAAATCGCCTTAACTACACCTTACAACCGTAAATAGCCTATTTTGACTACCATAATGGCTGACTTAATTATTTACTTAGGAAAAAAAAAAGCAAAAAGTTTTAAGTTTTAATTTTGAAAATATAAATACTTAGCATTTAGTTTAGAACTCTCTGACAATTAACTTGTTTTAGCTAATGCATATGATTTATTAAATGCAAAATCAGGCGTGAAGAGGGTTTCAACCTGGCGGTCAATTTTGAGTACAGTGAAAATCTCGAATTATAAAGTTGAGAATTTCATGACTAACGGTTGAAAACCTGAAAATTATTAACATAATTTAACAGTTTTTTAACAGATTATTAACACTACAGGTTGTTTAAAGATTTTACTCGTGTTTATTGTTTTACTAGTAATAGTTTTACATCTGCGAAGCATTGTTGTTTTTAGAGCACCCATTTAATATCAAACTTCGAAAGACAAGATGATTTATTTATGCTATTTATGAGAAGACACCTTTCGTTGAAATGGTGCAATTACATCACCGAGGATGAAATCCTTCCTTGATTTTTATTTGCTTTTAGAAATCAATGTGACAAATACGTTGGAGCGTTTCATTCAGTAATCAAATCGTTAGTCAGTAAACAAAATTTGTTTAGATTGGCACTATATGTGATTATGATTGTAACTACATATGGCTTTGTGTGGGTGTGATTAGCACCACCCCACACTTTGTGGGAGTGGCACTACATTGAGTTGTGTGTGGCTGTGGTTGTCATTACATGTGACTGAATTTTTTTAACCTGTTTTTAACTTAGTTTGTAAATATCTTATGTATATATGTATCGTTTTTAGTGTACTGAATTCTCATTATTTACGGGTTTTTTAGGATTTGTAATGGTTTGGATCTGTGTTGTGTATTAATTAATTCGGGAGAAAATCCGGGAGTTCACGGGAGAAAATCCGCTTTCAAATTTTATATGAAGCCGCGTTAAAATATCTGAAATATACACATCTATATGTTTTAAAACTTAAATTTTTATCACTATTTCTTTCTACTAATCTATAATTATAAAAAGGATTTTAAATAAAATTTTGAAAAAGAATATTGCATAAAATTGCATGTATAAAAAATGCGATTTTTTAATTGCCACAAGTAGCTGATAAGCATACGACGAAGTATCAAGAACATTTATTCTGACGGTTTGTCGAAATAAATAGAACGATAAAGTTGTTACTGCTGTATATGTCAATATTTAAAAAAATAAATTTGACAAGAAAAGCTCTACGTAGAAGAATTTGTTTTGCTATAGTTGCGTTACATACTCTCGTGTGTTTGACATAAATACAAATAAGAAATAAGATGGCTCCAAGTAAAATAAGAGTTCTATCAAAAGAATAATATATCTGGTAGGACGCGCATACAACTAATTCTTTTATAATTTATGTGCGCGTACAACTAACTTTTTATTATGGCGCAAGTAACTATTATTTCTTTTGTCTGCTTACCTTAAAATTTAATCATTTATTTATAGAAATTATACTAATTTATAAATCGTATTAGAAAGTTCATGTGTCTATTCAAAGAATAAAGAGACAGTTAAGTAAGATTATTCTAACAAAATGTAATTACTGCTTAGCATTTATTTATTACTAATCATAAATTAAAGTTTAACGATAGATAGTAGTTACAAGTAGCGGGTACAAAGAATTGAAGTAATGTAAGATAGTAAAGAGGTAATTACCCCCTGTACATAAATATATATATAATATGTTATAAAATAAATGTATTCTACAAAGACAGTGCTCAATGTTCTTAAAAAACAGAGCAATAATAAATTAGTAAAATACGCTAATATTGCCTGGGGAAGTACAAATAAATCTCTATATATACACCAAAAACACGCATCAAGATTGATTTATAATAAAAATAAATTCGCTCATGCCGATCCTTTACTTAAAAACTTGAATGCTTTAAAATCAAATTAACATCTACCAAAATATTTTATTTATGCTCAAATATAAGCTCGGACTTGTCCCTACTCATTTTACTAATAACTTTTTTCATACCAACGCCAACAGATATACCAAACAAGGAACCGGAAACTTTACGTTGCCCAAAAAAAAACAAATTTTTCGAGATTTTCAGTTGTATACCGTCGCCCATATGTATAGAACAAAATAGTACCTCAAAATATAAAACTTACTAAATTGGATAATCTTATTGCCCTGAGAAAAAAACTAAAAGATCTCATAATTAACAAAACCAATTTTATCGATATGTATTAAATATAAAAGAAGAATTAATATAATAAAATGTAAAAAGAACAATTTAAGCCATAAAAATAAAGAAATAAAAAAAATAAAAACATAAAAAAATAATAATAAATAAATATATATAGTTAGCAACTATACATAGTAAAACATTACTGAAGAGATGACTTCAAAAAGTTAATTTTTAGTTTATTTTGTATTTTAAAGGTTCTCGATGAAAAGACTTTTCTTAGTCTTCTGCGAGTTTCCTTAAAACTACATAGTACTATTAATATAGTTTCAATAACAACGATAAGCAAGTCCCTAGTAGCCCTGTGGTGCGACGGACTTGCGTATATTTTTTAAATGCATGGGTAACTTTAATTTTTTAAATGCATGGGTAAACTAAGAATTTATAAGTTTATTATTTTAATTCAATGTCAAACGCGCATGCGTAAAATAGTTAATGTTCATTATATATTGTAACTTGTTAACGCTCTATATATATTGTAAATATTTGTGGTGGGCATTTATAAAATTGGAGAAATGTAAATGTTATTTGTTTTTGAAATATATAATAATGATTGTTGTTAAACAAACAAACATACAAACAAAACAAAAAAAAGTAAAAACTCTTATCTTGATTTTTCTTCAACAAATCGTTTCTCCATCAGTAGACGTTTCTCCATCAGTAGACGTTTCTCCATCAGTAGACGTTTCTCCATCAGTAGACGTTTCTCCATCAGTAGACGTTTCTCCATCAGTAGACGTTTCTCCATCAGTAGACGTTTCTCCATCAGTAGACGTTTCTCCATCAGTAGGTTTATCAGGAAGAATGTCTAAGCAACAAAAAAAAATTCAAGTTATAGAAAAAATATTTCACTGGTAGTTGGGAATTGTTATAACTATGCGATAACTGTAGTTATTTTGCAGCCAGGAATTTGCATCAACAACATGAAAATTAAAAAATTATTCATGAACAAAATTCTTTAGTCATTTGGTCAATTTTTTCAATAATTTTTTAAAAAGTACTAATTTTCATGTTTGCATAATGTACATTTTTTTTTAAATATCTTCACTTCCACAAGGCTGCAAGCAACCACTATTAAAGTTAGAAGTTACTGGAAGAAAAAAGGTGAGGTTTATAGAGCAAGATAACGATTGACAGACAACTTAAAAGATTGCAAATTATATGAATCAGGAAAACAAAATGCAGGAAGCAATTTCCAAAGAACTGATGTTTGTGGAAAAAGACGAATAAGAATTTTTGAGGCTTAGGATAAGTCACAGTAAAAGGATGAGACTTAATTGAATTAAGACGATGCGGTAATGGAGGGAGATTGGTTGCAAGGGCAGGTCCAAATATGTTTACAATCCATTTTTGCACCTTGCCTTAAAAAGAAGGGGCATCATTGAAAAATCCGCCGCCAGATATGGCGACAGTGTTCCATACAACGACAAATTGTAGACTTATAAAGATAAAAAATATGTAGTCCTGAGTAAAAAAGTGGCGATTAAAATAAAGAAATTAGCATATTCTAATTTTGAAATTGATTTGATATATGGTTTCTAAAAAAATTCGTAAGTAAGAGTTAATCCTAGAAAATGATTGGTAGATGACTCATCGAGTACATTACCGTTCATAAATATAGGAAGATCTAGATTATTACGGTAAACAATTAGCTGAAAAAAATTAAGTTTTATCTGACTTAATGTTTACCAACCAATGAAAGCCCCATGCTGTAGCAGAAATGATATCCTTTTCAAGCTCAAATGATTCCTCAAGATAATTATAAATGGTAATATCATCAGAAATAATGCCACCTTAGATGTGAGAATTTTTTTTTTAATGTTATTTAGGTACCCCATAAAGACCTAACGGTCTTGTCACAGAGCACCGCGGAAGTACATTTAACCAGGAAGTTCATGCCTCCTTCCTTACCGTGACGCGTCACGTAAGAAAGGCGCAAACCTCTCTACATCTATCTAATGCACGGTAAAACCTATCAGTTATTACCGTTAAAGATTCCGCGATAAAATGAGAAGATCGAAATCCATATTGATGATCATAAGTAAGTTATTAGACTCAAGATGAGAAGCTAAGTGTTTATTAATTAAAGACTCAAAAACCTTGCTTATGATAGGAAGAAGACTAATGGGAACTCCAAAACTTTGAAAAATAGGGATAACAGATGCCGCTTTCTAGCTGGATGGAAAACAAGACCTGGTTAAACATTTATATATATATATATATATATATATATATATATATATATATATATATATATATATATATATATATATATATATATATATATATATATATATATATATATATATGTATGTATATATATATATATATATATATATATATATATATATATATATATATATATATATATATATATATATATATATATATATATATATATATATATATATATATATATATATATATATATATATATATATATATATTATAGCGCATTCCATGGGACAACAACTCTATTTGAAAAAACGTTTTGTCGTTCTTCACAATTTCGTACAAACTGGTGTTCTTATTTTTGATTATACTCTCTCAAAATATACTTGGCTTTACTGTTTGAAAGTTTTTGTGGAACGAAAAAACTGAAAAGTTTGAGTTGACGCGTGATTTTAAATTGTTCGATTAGGTCTGCTTTTTTACGGCGTTCTTCAAGTGTTGCTAGACCGAGCTGTTGGAGTCGAATTTTATAGAGCAGATGTTTAATAGATGATATTGTTTTTGTTGCTCGATGTTGGACTTGCTCGAGGATAGCAGTGTCGGGCTTTAAATGCGGCGACCAGGCTTGAACACCAAACTCAAGGTGGGGGCGAATGTAAATAAGATACATTGTGTGCCATAAATAAAAACTGCGACTCCGAAATGTTATTTAGAGTCGCCCTAGCATTCTATTTGGAATTGATGCAGCTGACTCTACTTGTGGTCTCACTTTAAGGACTTTGGAGACGATCACACCAAGGTCTCGTTCGACTACAGTCTTTTCGAGTGGATAACGCCTGCCGTCAATGTTGGCCATTGAGTAATTGTACGTCATCTTGTTACAAGTGCGGCCAACATAAATTACTTTGCATTTCTCAATGTTGAAATGCATAAGCAAAATATGTGACCATTCCACTGCTCTGTCAATGTCGGCTTGGAGAGTGATGCTATCCGACTCGTTTTTGATTATGCCAATAACTTTACTGTCGTCAGCATACAGTTTCATATAATGACTAATTCTGTCCGGCAGGTCATTAATGAAGATTACGAAGAGCAATGGGCCCAAGACCGAGCCTTGAGGCACGCCACTAGTAACCGTTTGCCATTCAGATGTGATGCCATTGATGACCACTTGTTGACTTCGGTCGTGTAACCAAGCTGAGATCCAGTCTAACAGCGTGCCTTGAATACCGTAGGCTTTTAGTTTATGAAGAAAGCGTTTGTGCAGCACTTTGTCAAACGCCTTTGCAAAGTCTGTGTATATGACGTCTACTGCATGTCTGCGATGAATGGCTTCTGTCATGATATCCCGAGTTTCTTGCAGGTTTGAGACGCAACTCTTGCGATAAACAAAGCCATGTTGC